AAAAAGTTTAGGCTTTCTGCTCCCATGAAAATTTAAAAGGCTTCAGAAAATCTTCATAGGGTTGTTGAGTCAGAACTAACTTAATGGCAATTAATAACAACAACATTTCCCAAGATGTATATTTATTTCTCCAAGTGAAGATATGACTGTTGTTTTTGTTGTTAGGTGCCATTGAGTCAGTACTGAGTAATAGCCACCTGATGCAGAACAGAATGAAACACTGCCTGGTCCTAGGCCAACCTCATAATTTTTGCCACACTTGAATCTATTGATTGACAATCCATCTTTCTGGGAGTCTTCATCTTTTTCTCTGACCCACTACCTTACCAAACATGATAGCCTTCTCCAGTGACTGGTCCCTCCTGACAGTATGTCTGAAGTATGAGAGATGAAGTGTGGCCTTCCTAGAAGCTAGGAGCATTCTGGCTGTACTTCATCCATCACAGATCTGTTTGTTCTTTTGGCAGACCATGGTACTTTCAATATTCTCCAACACCATAACTCAAATATATCAATTTCCTCTACGGTATTCCTTATTCATTGTCCAACTTTCACATGTATATGAGGTTATTGAAAATACAAGGGCTTTAGTCAAGCACACCTTAGTCCTCAAACTGTCATCTTTGCTGTTGAACACTTTAAAGTAGTTTTGTGCAGCAAATTTGCCTAATGCAATATGTTGTTTGACTTTTTGACTGCTGTTTCCATGAGTGTTGATGGTTGAGCTGAGAAAAACAAAGTCTTTGACAATTTCAATATTTTCTCCATTGATAAGAATGCTGTTTATTGGTCCAGCTGTGAGGATTTTTGTTTTCTTTACATTGAGATGTAATCCATACAGAAGGCTGTGGTCTTTGATCTTCATCAGTAAATACTTTAAGTCATCTTAACTTTCAGCAAGCAAGGTTGTATCATCTGCATATCACAGATTGTTAATGAGTCTTCCTCCAGTCTTCATGCCTATAAAGTGATTAATCTGTCCTGATTGATATGTCATGGATGGTGGTACTTTATCTGATTTGACATCCATTATGTGAGATCATTCTTACTACAAAAGACTTGTTTAGTAATCTTCTAGTCTTAGACTAACCTGGGTTTTCCAATCCCTCATTACATTTAAAATGTAATTATGGATTCAATTTTAAAAAGTTTAATTGTAAAGAAAGATTCCAGAAATTATAAATGATATTAAAAGCAATCTTGTTAGAAGAGATTAAACTATATGCTTTGGGTCCAAACTAAGACATGACTATTAAGAAACTTTATCTTCCTGTGTAACTCAAACTGAATTTAAAATAATTACAAAAGAGTTCTCTTGTAGTCTTTTGTAGTAAGAATGATTTTGACTAGAATTTCAGTTGTTTAGAAGAATGAATTCTTAGGCATATATTTCTGTTAAGAATTACTGTAAATATACACCCTCATTGATTAGGAATACTGGGTTTGTTGGACTAACTTAAGGTTTTTTTCTTAAGCTCTCATTTACCTTTATGTTTATTAGTGAAATTTGCCCCAAGATTTTAAGTGACAGCAAATGATACCATGTGGAACTAGAGACTGTTTAGAATGCTTGGTAAGACTTGTCACCTTTTCAGAATCTCTTAACATTGAAAGAATAGCCACTTCCTGTGAAAGAAGCTACTTTGATCAGCCACAGACTGATTACTAGCTGCTTTTAGCAAATACCTTTTCTTACACCACTAACTACACTGAATAAACATACAGGCCAGAACTAAAATACTCTTGCCAATTTGTTTCAGGAAGGTTTACTTATTTTTACTATTATGTGTGAAATTATTTTTTATTGGAGGACAATACATTTTTGCTTGTGAAAAATAATGAGAACTTCTTTCTTGTAACAAGTGTTAAAGGTAGTAACCATTATTTTGTATAATCCAAGGGAACAAAGAAGAACTAGGTATTTCATTTTTCCATTAGATCTCTAACTTGGTCTTCTAGTACCTACCTATGTAGGATAAATTTGTTAGATGCTTTTATCCTCACTCCTGGATGATGAAACCAAAATAAGTGTGCACGTGTGTGTGTGTATTAATAATACTTTTGCCTAGACACATTTACTTAGTATATGTTCGAATTTGATTAGAAAACTGAGATTTTTAAAAAAAATCTATTCTTAATAACATTGACATGTATAAGCAAAGAAGAGGGGGAAAGGTTTATATATTTTTTTAACAACTGCAACGTAATAATGGTTTGGCACGTTAAAGATTCTATATTTGCAAACACAGATTATGTTCTAGAATTTATTTAGGATAGGCAGAGTTTATCATAATTTTAAATTTAGTTGCCTGCCTGAAAAATTGACATAAAAGAAAACTTTAGAAGGAGAAATATCGAAGGCAAATTAATATGACTCCATAGTAATGAGGGGGAGTCCTGGTGTGGTGGTGTGGGTTAATGCGCCAGACATCAGAGCTGTTTGAACTGCAAGGTCAGCAGTTCAAGCTCACTAGCTGCTCCTTGGAAACCCTATACAGGGTCGCTATGGGTCAGAACCAACTCGACAGCACTTCAGAACAACAACAACAATGTGAGATCAATTAGAAAAGCACACTGGATTTGCGACAAATGGAAAGGAAACAAACTCATCAGAGTAAGTGTTTTTACGTAAAGTATTTTTTATATAACTTACTTTATTTCTGTAGTTGTAATTGAGTCTATACAGAGAAAAACACACACCTATTCAACACTTTCTAGAGTTACAATTCAATGATGCAGATTACATTCTTCAAGTTGTACAATTATTCTCACCCTCTTTCCCCAATAATCTCTTCCCCATTAACATAAACCCATTGCACCCTATATTTCCTAATTAATATTCCAAGCTGTTGTTATTAATTTCATCCCACATACATCTTAAAAGAGTACTTTTAGCAAGGCACATAGATTTACTTCTGTAAGTGAAATATGTCTCACTTTCCTAAATTCCAGTTTTTTTAAAAAAATTAAGATAATATTTGACAAAATATTTAGATTGGTAATGGGATTTGTAGGCTATACATATAATATATGGCTTTATTGTATAAAGATATGAAAGTATTTATTTGTTTGTTTGTTTGTTGTTATTTTCTTTAATTAATCAACCATTTAATTTCTTCTCTGGCTTTCAGCTTGATATTAAGAATAGTTTTAATTCTCCAAATTTCAGTTTATTCAGCAGTAAAATAAAGCAGATGGTTAGAAAATATTTTTACACATATCTTGTGCTGATTGAAATAAGTTATTCTAATGTTATATGTCAGTGGTTCAAAGCCACCAGCTTCTCCTTAGAAACTATATACAGGCTGGCTATGATTTGGAAATGACTCAATGACATTTAGCAACAACAAAAATGCTACAGTATAAGTTTACTTAAACATGTATGAACATAAGTTTCACAACTTCTCTTCTTATTGTTATTGCATGTTTTTGAGACAGTTCTAACACATAATGATCCTCTATTGAGTTTCCAAGGCTGCAAATTTTACAGGAGAAGACAGCATCATTTTTCTCTTGAGGAGCAGCTGGTGGATTCAAACTGCTGACCTTGTGGTTAGCAATCCAATGTATAACTTTCTATGCCAATAGGGCTCCTTTGATGCTTATAGTTGTTATGAGAATATATATATATGTATAAAATAAATGCAAATTAAACATTAATGTATGAAATCTTTAATTTTTATGAAAGAAAGTTTACAGATAGTAATAATAATAAAAAGTTATAAAACAATTTTAAGCTCTTTCATTTATAACACAATACTTCATTTTATCATCACAAGTATTGTAGAAAACACTTCTTTCCATATATTGTTTCTGTTAAGAGTGGTCGAATTGGTTATGAGTCACAGAGACCCTGTAAATGGTTTCTGAATACTGACCGGTGGGTTTGAACCACCATCATAGTGGTTAGAGTCCTGCTATGGTGCTCAGGTAAATGTGCTGGATGGCAAGGTCAGTTTGAATCATAAGGTTGATGGTTCAAGATCACCAGTCCCTCCTTGGAAATCCTATACAGGGTCACTGTGCATAACTACCAACTCGCCAGTAATTAGCAAAAAAAAAAAAAAACCAGTCTAGTTGTTATCCTACAGTACCACACCAGGACAGTTATTGTTTATTATATAAATGACGTTTTATTGCTTAAACCCTATGTATTTTTTTTTTTTTAATTATTTGTGCAGTGACTATGGAAAAGCACTGACTGAATAATACTAATAGTAAAATGGTTCTAAGTTTCTGATGCTTCTTTTTTTGATGAGAAATTCAGACAGAATAGACCACACAACCGCATTAAAATGCTGTTGCCATGCAATCAATTCTGACTCATAGTGACTCTATAGAACAGGGTTGAGCTACCCATTAGGATTTCCAAGATTATCTTCTTTATGTGAGCAAACTACTATGGAGTGGCTAGTAGGTTTGAATCACTGAAATTTTGGTTAGCAGCCATTCACTTTACCATTTTGCCAATAGACCACATGGGCCCTTTATATCTGGGATGATAGGTACCGATTAAGATTATATAGATTGGGAGATTCACTTATGGAGCCAAAGCATAGAAACACTAGAAATTTGGGCTTTAATTAGCAGCTTATGGATAAAATCCAAGGGGGGGGGGGAAATCAAATAAAAGTGTAAAAGTTGAACAAGGAAATAATGACCCAGAATACCAGGTAATGATGTGAATAAGAAACACTATCAATGAAGAAAGAACGTAGTTCAGTGTAAATTATAAGAAAGAATTGTTGTTAGTGTGTATGCTTATTTTTCTTTTAATAGTTCATGCATGAATACACTTATGACAGCGCAAAATCACTGGAAAGATTGTTCTTGTTAATGTGAGCTAATGGACTGGGCTGTAAAGTAGGTCTGAACCTGAAGGTCGGTGGTTCAAGCTCAGCAGCCACTAGTTGAAAACCATATACAAGGTCACTATGAGTTGGAACCAACTCGACTGCACTTAACAACAACAACAACAACATAAGGAGTAGATATGACTTTTATATAAATTGTCTTCCAATCAGAAATGGATTCTGGCACCATATTTTCCTCAAGGCATTCTTCATCTCTGTGTTTCTCAAAGTGTAAATCAGAGGGTTGAACATGGGGGCAATGATGGTGTAGAAAAGAGCAAAAACTTTATCTTCTGGAAAAATGATGGCTGGTCTAATGTAAATGAACAGGACAGGCACAAAGAATAGAACCACAACTGTTATGTGGGAACTGCAAGTAGAAAGAGCTTTGCTGCGGTTTTCAGTAGGGAAAGCCCTGATGGTGTATAATATCAAAAAGTACGACAGCAACAAGACCACAAAAGTCACCAAACCCATCATGCCCGAATTGGCAACAACCAGGATCCCGACTCTGTATGTGTCAGTACAGGCCAGTTTCAGCAAAGGATACACATCACAGAAGTAATGATCTATCTCGTTGGGGCCACAGAAAGGTAGGTTGATAGTGAGGAGACACTGAAAAAAGGAGTGCAGAAATGCCCCAGTACAGCAAGCAATGATGATCACATCACACTTCCTTTTGTTCATGATGATGGCATAATGCAAGGGCTTGCAGATAGCCACGTAGCGATCATAGGCCATCACTGTCAGGATGAAGACCTCAATCCCCCCAAAGAAGTGCATAGCAAAAAGCTGGGTCATGCAGCTAGTATAAGAAATTGTGTTTCTTTCTTCCAGTAAGTCAATGACTAGCTTGGGTGTCACTGTTGAGGTATAACACAGGTCTGAGAGAGCAAGGTAATTAAGAAAGAAATACATAGGTTGGTCTATGAGTTGACTGCATGTGATGGAAATTATTATGAGTAAGTTTCCTATCCAAATAGCTATGTAGCAAGATAAGAAGAGTAGAAAGCAAACATTTTTAATTTTCTTGTTCTGGGAAAGTCCCAACAGGATAAATTCAGTGACGTTATTGACATTGTCCATGGTCTAACACAGTTAATTCTCAAAAGGTGTAACTGAAACAAAAAAGTTATGTTAGCCTCAAAACTATTTATTAACCCTGGTGTTATCAAAGTGAGTCTGTTGAAACAAATTCAGTATTAAGCAACTATCCTATACTACATTTACATTCATTCTAAACTTTATACTGGTAGGCTTACCATATCATTTACCATTCCAATTTGGTTATTTTTATGAGTTATTTTAACATATAAAATCACCCACTGTATGGAATACAAATGTGAGCTTAGTATCCAGAAGTAGCTCATCCTCTTGTAAATGGAAAGAAGACTAGGATGAAGTGTGCAAGTTCAAATTCTGTCTTGATTTTAAATTTTATTGTTCCTATTTGAATTTTATATTAAAAATATTGTTTTAAAATATTATTGATTTTCATTATTGAGACATTTACTTGAAAGGTAAGTACCTCATTTGACTCATGGTAATTCTGATAAGCAAAAAGTAGGAAGATACCAGCAGCAATGGACTCAAACGTAACATTAATGAGGAGGGAACAGGACTGGGCAATGTTTCATATCTATGAGTCATAACCGTTTCAGTGGCTCCTAACAGTGACAATTCCTAACCCTGGTTTAAAATTTTAATATACATTAAACAAAATTATAGAGAACAATGAAGTAAATATAATTGTATTTGAATTCTAAGTTATTGTGATAGTTCTATTTCTGAAATTATTCTTGAAACCTTTTGCAGTTCTTGCAACCTGTATTTTCTTGCCCAAAATGTCAAAGCAGAGATCTATTTTTCCGAACAGTTTCCAAGGCTGTTTTCTGTTACTAGTACTAATTAACCACTGAAAAGAACCTTTATTTTTCTTGTACAATTTACCTATTCTCTCTCTGATTGATTCAATTTATTCCTCCTCCATATCCAGGATATTCTCCTACTATGGTATCGAAACCCATACATATCATTCTCTTAATTATCTACTATATGGTTTGTAGTAAACACTACAAAAGATTCCTGATATCAGGAAGCTCATATAAGAATCAGTGCATTTGAATTACGGTGCTGGCAAAGAGTATTGAAATTATTATGGACTTCCAGTAGAGAAAATTAATCTCTTAGAGAATTACAGCCAGAATGCTACTTAAAGTTGAGGATGGCCAGACTTTGTCTCTCATACTTTGAATATGTTGTCAGGAGGAACCAGTCCTTGGAGAAGAACATCATGCTAGGTAAATCTAATGATCAGTAAAAAAGAGGAAGATATCCAACAAGATGCATTGGCATAGTGACAGCAGAGACTGGCTCAAACATAGCAACAGTTGTGAGTATGGCACAGGGCTAGGCTGTGTTTTGTTCTGTTGTACATAGGGTCATGATGAGTCAGAACCAAGTCAATGGCACTTAACAACAACAACATATGAATACCACACAAAAATTAGCCAAGGAGAAGAGAAATAATGAACGTCCACTGTACCATATCTATTATTATTATTTGATCGGTGCCTCTTTTTCTCTATATTTGTCTTTTTTCCTTAGCCTAAAATGCTAGTTATGTAAGTCATTCATCTACCAATATCCATTTTTCCTCTAATAAATCCTATATATGACACCATCTTTATTTTATTCCTGATTTTCCCAATAAAATAAAAATTGCTTTATTTTTATGTCTGATAAAGGATAGGACACCAGTCATTCAACCTTATTTTACTTGTATAATGGGAAGTTATTATTTAAAATGTTTGCAAAAACTTGAAGGAATACTGTGCATTTCAAAAGGATTGCAACTGTCATCTTTTTAGAGAAAAAAAATGTCATTTGCATGAGTACTACGTAAATGGGCTTCAAAAAGTTCATGGAAAAATGCAAGTGTACTTTGATTCCATTATTCCACTGACTTTTTGAAGATCCTTCATAGAATATGCAAGCTTAATATCTATTGTTTTGAAGTAAAACATGCTTCATATAGGTTGGTGAAATTTTCACTTACCAGGTGATTAGCTCATAGATACGTTCCTTTCATCATGAATCAAAGGAAGCATTCAGAGCTTAGAATGCAATTAGAACAAACGCTTACCTTCCTTTTTAAAGATTAATACTTCATGATTCAATCAGTCACTGTTTCTGGGTTTAGTACTTTCCTGTATTCCCTGAAGAGAAGAACATTCTCACATGATTTCTGAAACAAATAGGATTGAAAGATCATCACCTGCATTTATGTTGAGATTGCCATTTATTTCTTAATCAAAAGTTGTATCATTGTGGTCTCAGGGTTGAACATTGCATGTAAGTTTGCTTTTTAATGTGCAAGTGAAATTTAAAGTGTGATGTAAGTATATCGTTTTTATCCTCACTTTTTTTGTGAGATCTCCCAAAAGAAATGTTGGACACAGGTCCTATTGAAATGGTCTAATGCCCTTCATATTCTGAAAATACAGTTTAGTCAATGTTGTTTTGCGGCGGCTGCTGATGTTGATGTTAGGTGCCATAGTGTTGGTTCCAGTTCATAGTAACACTGCATACAATAGAACACAACACAGTCTGGTCCTGCAGCTTCTTCACAATCTTTGCTATAATTGAGCCCATTGTTGTAGCCACTGTGTCAATCCATCTCAATAAGGATCCTCCTCTTTATTTTACTGACCCTCTACTTTATCAAGCATAATGTTATTTTCTAGGGACAGGTTCCTCCTGGTAACATGACAAAAGGAAGCAAGATGAAATCTTGTCATCAATGCTTATAAGTAGCATTCTGCCAGTATTTTATTAAGACAGATTTCTTTGTTCTTCTGGTAGCCCATGTTGTTGTTGCTAAATGGAAAACAAAGTTATCAATGATTTGATTTTATTGAGATCTAAAATCAATAATAATGGAAATACCAGTCAAGGAAACAAATGATGTATCACAGTAGGCAAATATTCTTCATTATTGTTGTTAAGTGACCTTGAGTGGGTTCTAACTCATAGTGACACTGTATACAGTTTCTGAGGACAGATGAATTTGAACTGCTTCAAACTGACCTTGAGGTTGAGTACTTATCCTGTGGTGCCACACCAGGACTTTGGCATTCCATAATATTTTGAATATTCTTTTTAAACATAGTAATTTAAGTGAATAGATTCTTCTTCACCCTTCCTTATTCATTGTCTACCTTTCATGTTTATTTGAGGCAGTTGAAAATACTAGGACAAGTGCTGGGCCAAAATGTCAATTTGAACTGTAAGGTCAGAAGTTCAAATCCACCAGTCACTCCTTGGAAACCCTGTACAGAGTCTTAATGAGTTAGAACCAACTTGACAGCACTTAACGAAAACAACATAGCTTGGCTCAGGTATAAGTTGGTCCTGAGAGTGACATCTTTACTTTTTAACATATTAACAGGGTCCTTGAATCATCTTTTTAGATTCCTGGTATGTTGCTGTAGGCTGTATGATAAGCACTCCACCTCAAGGTCAGTTTGATTCAAAAGGTCACAGGTTCAAACTCACTAGCTGCTCCTTGGCAACCATATAGAGGGTTGCTATTCATTAGAACTCACTCAAAAGCATTTAACAACAACAATGTAGCATATTTGCCTAATGCAATGCATCATTTGACTTATTGACTACTACTTCCATGGTTGTTGATTTTGGATCCAAATAAAATAAAATCCTTGATAACTCTATTTTGTTCTCTATTTACCATGATGTTACTTTTCAATTCGGTTGTGAGGAATTCTGTCAAGGTTGACAATTCCTTATACCTGGTGAATTTTCATCACAGACCAGGAATCCTTTTTCATTCAGTGTTGATAGACCAGGTGCTCTGTGCTGTAACAAATTCTGAGGAATCAGTTCAGATTAAGATTTGAAGAAATACAAAATGGAAAATGTCAGATGCCTTTGTTGTTGTTGTTAGATGCTGTCAAGTTGGTTCCAACTTACTGTGGCCCTGAATAGGGCTTTTGTAGCTGTAAATATTTGTAGGAGCTGAAAGCCTTATCTTTCTCCCATAGAGCAGCTGGTGGGCTCAAACTGGCGAAATTGTGGTTCACAGTCCAGAACTTATTCTATGGAGCCACTGTGTTGCCCAGGAAGGGGATATTAGATCCAGGAATTAAATTTTGGTTTGCCCCACAGTAAGTTACTTGAATAGTGAATGCAATACTTCCTGAATGTTATTTTACCTCCAATTGGCCCTACATCATCCTGTAGTCCCTACAGATGCAACCACTTCGATGCTAATGCAAAGTTGCAGCCCTTCTGCTCACTCACCCTTGTTTAAGAAAGACCTGCTAATATCCTTGGGCTTGTCTGACAGTAGTATAGGATGATACAGGCACCCACAAGATACCTGCTTAGCCACATGTTAGCTATGAGGGTAACTGAGTCTGATAGATGAATGTTTTACCTCTTTGTTGCTAGGCAGAAATTCTGAGGTGACTTTCATTAGGTTATTTAAAAGGTCTCTCAGAAGATGCATCAATCACTAAGAGTAAGGCCAGCAATGTGACTCATCTTAATATTGGCTATTTCCTTCCTGTCCCACATTTTTGCCACCAACATGTACCCTCCCACCCCCGGGATCACTTCTCAAACAAACCACTTGTATGTAAATATTTTCTCTGGCTCTGAGGGAAACCAAGTCTATAACAAATCGGATTCTTATTTAGATCATCATCCACCACGTTAGCCAACTCAAATTTTGTTTTGGATTAACAGGGTTGATTGTCTTTTTCTTTGAGATATATGTTGTGTCTTGAAATTTGGTAGTGGTAGTTGTTAAAGTTTCTTCAAGTCAGTTCCTACTCATAACAACCCTGGTTAATGTTTCCAAAGAGTGGCTGGTGGGTTTGAGCTATCAATCTTGTGGATAATAGTCCAGTGGTAGCAAATCATCTCCTCCACTTACCTCCCTAATGTTTCTGATGAAGGTAACATGGTTTCCTAATTTTCTTGTCATTTTTAGATGCGCTCCCTTTTCTACCAATACTAGTCTCTTTATTTTTCTTTTATACCAATGCTGTTGTTGTTAAGTG